ATACATACATACATACATACATACATACATACATACATACATACATACATACATACATATACATATATATATATATATATATATATATATATATATATATATATATATATATATATATATATATATATATATATATATATATTTATATAAATTCGCTTTGCTCTTAATAATTCATTTATTTAAATATTTTTAGTGGCTTGGACGTACCTAGTTTATTGAGTGAATACAATATGCTACCTATATCTATGCTGAATTCTAGTTATTCTGGTGTTGCAAGTGCGTTTGTTGTAGCCTATGCATGCCATACCGCTACACTTCCGTTTCGAGCATTTATTACCATATTCTGTACACCGCTTATTGTTAAAAGGTTTCATGTTTTAGGGTTTTTTTCCCAAAAAGTTAAATAACTTTGATGTTTTCGGAAAAAGACAAAAAAAAAGTTTTTACTTTTAAAATATATTTATTGTATTTTGCTTTATATAATCCGATATTCTTTTTATAATGTCAGTGGCGTAACTACAAGTATTACCCTCTCTTTCCCCTTTCCCATCATATAGAGTATTTTTATTAGGAGCCGCAATGAATAATTTCTTAAGAAAAAACCTGTGCGTATTAAAAGGATTAAAAAAGGTCTGGGAACTCTCTTACCTCCATAATTTGTAGGGGTGTGTTTTCCTCTACCTACACCACTGTATAATGTGGAAACAAAAGACATTTGCCTAATTTGTTCTAAGTATAAACGTTATATAATAGATCACGTTGTAAATGTTTAATGACTGGAAATAAGAATAGAATGGAACTTATAAATAAATAAATAATTAAATAATTATAGAGTTACCAAAAAAGTTCATCAAAACATATAAAAATATTAGTTTATTTTATAATTTGTCGGGGATAGTGCAAATCCCCGTAATTAGCCTTGGATAAGCAGTATCTAAGTTATCTAATGCTAGATACGCGGGTTTGTGTATATATATATATATATATATATATATATATATATATATATATATATATATATATATATATATATATATATATATATATATATATATAGATATATATACATATATATATATATATATATATATATATATATATATATATATATATATATATATATATATATATAATATATATATATATATATATATATATATATATATATATTATATATATATATATATATATAAAGAGAGAGAGATAGAGTTTGCTGTTTTTGTAATGCTATATATATATATATATATATATATATATATATATATATATATATATATATATATATATATATATATATATATATATATATATATATATATATATATATATTAGGTCCTGTAAAAGCCCTAATTATATGAGTCCTTTAAACTCCCTTTAGATGAGAAACTTAAAAACTTGAGCCCGATTTAAGCTCAGCTGTGCAATAAATAATATTTGCTTAAGTCCATTTTCTATTTAACGGGTCCCCAATAATTTTTCTTTAAAAACTCTTCAAAAAAAACAAACAAACAACTTAAATAATACTCAAATAAATCAAAATTAAAAAAATTTAGAATAAATATAATTTTGTTATTATAAATACTCAGGTTTAAGTTAATAGCGATTTCATATAAATTTATTTATTCATACGCAGGGGCGATTCTTCTGGGTGTTTAGGGGAGGGGGTGATTATATACCCCAAAAGAGAATTTTATGTTTAAGTCTGTTTTTTGAGTAATATAGTCGGTTAGTCAAACATTTGACGCATTTCGATCAGGTGATTTTTTTTTTAGTAAGCGATAGGTACTTTTTAAGAGTTTGCCCCCTCCCTCCTCGGTTTGTTCCTAGAATCACCACTGATCATGCTCATGTCTTGATAATAATTTTGTATGTTTATATTTATTTTTTTCTTTCTATAATTACATGTAGAATTTATGAATTTATTATTAGAATTATGAACTTATGTAGAATACATGTAGAATTTACTAAAGCAAAAAAAAATTAAGTTTTTGGTTGGGTGTAATTTCGTATAACTAATAAAACTGCGCATTAAGATTGACGTCTACGCTAACGCCGTGTACTCGGCTTTAGCGTAGTCGTCAGAGTTTCAAAGAGATACATGGTTTCGTTGCCGACTCTAGCAAAATAAGCGGCATTGTTAAGGAAGTAGTTTGTTGTTCTTCCGCGAAATTTAACAAGAATAATATCAACAAAAATGTTCTTACTGAAGAATAAGAACAAGGTACTTAATAGAACTATAATTTTTCTTTAATAACTAATTACTCGTGTCATTATTTTAACTAATCTACTAATGTTGTTATTCTAGTTTTTTGTGTCATTTTATCCAATCTATTAATGCCATTATTCTAGTTTTTAAGAATATAAATAATATTTGGAACATACTAAAATTTGCGACATTTGAACCGCCAGAACTAATGACAAGAAAATCCAATAAAAGGAAATGTAAAGATAGATTGCGCGACCCAAATAGCAAACAATATTGGCGCAATATTGGTGCGATATTGGGTATCTTGGCCTAGATTGGCCAAGATATGCAATATTGCGCCAATATTGGCAAACAATATTGCGCCAATATTGGCATATCAATATTGGCCAATATTATCATACCAATATTACGCCAATATTATTTTCCTAATATTGGAATATAATATTGGCGCAATATTGACATGCCAATATTGGCCAATATTGATATGCGAATATTGGTGCAATATTGTTTGCCCATATTGGCCCAATATTATTTTGTTTTCATTACTCAAATATTGGCCAATATTGACATTTTTACATATTGGTACGCATGCGTAACATTATCGCTTGTTCATAATGTCCTTTATAAAGAAGTACTGTGAACATCAAAGGACAAAACTATAGTTTTGTCCTTTGATGTTCACAGTATTTCTAATACAACAGATTGAATCTTCTAATAATACAGATTGAATCACAAGAAGAAGTGGTTGTTTTTTATTTAAAAACATCACGAGAAAAAGTGAAGAAATCCTTTTAATTGAAAATTTAGAGATTGTATCACGAGAAGAAGTAGAAAAATATTTCTGTATTATAAGATAAAGGTTGAAATAGTAAGTTTACTTTTATATAAAAACAATTTGAGTTAATTGCATCTGCAAGATTTGTATATATATTTGTTTTGTTAAAGATATTCGATTAAGTAACAAATACGTCATATGATTTACCATTTAATAAGTTTGCAAATGAATAAATTTTAAATAAGTTGTTAAATCTAGATTTAGGTTTATCTATTTTTTATTTCTTTCTTTTTTTAATCTTTTTTATTTACTTTCTAACTGTTTTAAGGTTTTAAATTTATGAATAGCAATTACAATATTATAACATACTGTAAAAATGCTGACACCTACTTGACACCTAATAATCTCAGCCTTGTGGTGTGTGATATATATATATATATATATATATATATATATATATATATATATATATATATATATATATATATATATATATATATATATATATATATATATATATATATATATAATTTAAGTGACATCTTTATTAGTATGTATAATAATATTATAACCATTAAAACATATGCAGTATCATAATATTTATTTCTTTTTTTACGTGATATTTTGGCTCATTAAGTGTGAGCCATTATCAAACTAATAAAACCAATCAAAACTGTTTAAACGGTTTTATTAGTTTGATAATGTCTCTCACTTTATAAGCCAAAATATCATGTAAAAAAATATCCTGGCCTGTATATTATATATATATATATATATATAATATAAAAAATATCGAGGCCTGTATATTATATATATATATATATAATATAAAAAATATCGAGGCCTGTATATTATATATATATATATATATATATATATATATATATATATATATATATATATATATATATATATATATATATTGTATAAGTGTAATACAATGTTATAGGTAATATAAAAATCAATAACTTCAACTTGATCTGCTAAATCACATTATATTAAAAGATTAGCGAAGCAACATTTAAATGAAATTCACTCAATAAGTGATGCTAAAAATACAAATGAATTACTTAACTGCGAAACTGCAATAAACTTCAGTGATGAGCCATTAATCATAATATGTTTACATAAAAACTCTTATGATTATTTGGCTGATTGAAATAATAATAACAATAATAATATAAAATAGTAATAATAATAATAATAAAAATGATAATATTAAATAATCATGTAAAAGTAATACAAAAGTTATAACAAAATTTAAAACTGTAATAGTTCTATAAAGGCTATTCTTTTTTATATTAGAATAATTATTTTTATTTTAAATAAACAACTTTTGATTTTAAATTCTTTCTAAAATGTTATTTATTATTAAATTTTATATTATTTTATATTTATAGTTAAATATAAATATAAAAAAATATAAATTCACTTCCAAGCCTAACTACAAGTGAATGTGAGGTTAAAGTTTTGAAATCAATACAACAAGAACGTATTAGACTCAAAACAAAAAATCTTGAAACACTTCTTTTTTTAAAATACAATTTAAGAGCACTTTCATATACTACATATTTATGTGGGGCTCCTGAAGACTTTGTACCACCTAATTTAAACTATTACAATGTATGGGATCCTGAATCTATATATATTTGTGATTTTCCTATATTTTTTACCTTTCATAACAGATTATTTAACTTTTATAGCTTTTTTTTAACTTTTTTTATAGCTTTTTAACTTTTTTTATAGCTTTTTTATAACTTTTATAGCTTTTTATAGATTTTTTTATAGATATTATTTAACTTTTATAGCTTAAAAAATAAAATAGCATAAAAAAAAATTCCTAGCCTCATCTTATAACTCCTGCTAAAACTATTATTTAGCTGTGGCTGGGGTTGTAAAAAGACCCAAATTTGGCTGGGGCCCCAGTCACTCACTACACACAAGTGTGGAACCACTAAACTAAAAACTTTTTTTTTTTTTTTTACGCTTGTTAATTTTTTTTATTTTTTCAAATTTGTTTAAGTTTTTTTTTATACACATGTTGCAAAGTTTAAAAAATTTGCTGTAGTTGAATTTCTTGATGAAAAAAAAAAAAAAGCATGTGTGCCATAGACGTTATCTGTTTATCATGGCTGATCAATGAAAGTTTAGTGTGTTGGCCAAATCACTTGAGATCATTTCGCCTTTTAACTGCCATACGCGAAGTAACACTTACTCCTGTAAGTAACTGGATACAGCTAAAAATAAGAGTTCTTTATTATTCTGGTAAGTGTCGTTATTATGTTTTTATTCCTTGTTTAATTTTATGTTACACACATGCTAGATGCTAATGATCTGAACAGCTATATTTATCTTTTTTTTAAATTTTTTAGACAGTTATGAAACTGCTGTAGAACAAATGGAAATGTTAGAGTTCACATCAAGCGTTGAAACAGCTGCTGATAGCGATGAAAAATTGTCCATGCCACCAGCTAAAAAGTTAGCAGTTTGTAATACAATTGACACTGAGGAGACATATCCATCAGTTTCCCCAAGATTGAAGAAATCTTTTAATTGCCAAAATATTTTACAACCCACAACTGTTCGATATATTGAGTCATTTAGTTCGAATCGTTCTCTACTGATATTTTCCTCTTCTGATCAGAGCTTGGCAGCTGTTGTGGCTGCTTTAGGCACCCGATTTCCTGGTAAAGGATTACCTTGATGGGTTATTTGTTTGAAGGTTTAATTAAATGTACTCTTTAATATATTTTTGAATGTAATTATACTATTTTTTTCTTAGTTTTTTGCTTTAACTTTAATAAAAAGCTAATCTATTTAATTGGTATTTATTAAAGTCAGAATTATTTTTTTATTGCAGCATTTGAGAAGAAAAGTTTAGAGTTGCTTGTCAGTATTCAATATGATTTGAAAAAGTTAAACACTTGCCTAATCCATTTAGAAAAAGGTTTAGTGTTTCCTTCTGTTAGCAATCAGAGCATAGCAGGACCATCCCCATCAGTTAAATGGAATTATTTGCCTGTTAAAGAGGAAAAAGAACTTCTAGACCTGGATGAAAAATTTCGGAACAAAGATAAAAATAAATGTATAGTATATAAAATATACTATACATTTGATTTTAATTAAGATACGGAAAAGAATGCTTTATATACAGTATATTTATTAAATTGTGTTGTGGTTTTAACCATTTATGCCCAGTTAACTCATTTAGTAGAGCAATGAGCCTACTAATCATAGGAAGCCTCACATTAGATACTTGAGATTGCATTCACCCCGATTTTTTTGCTGTTGTAAAGGCAACCTATGCTAGTGAATGAAAAATCTGATACTATAGTATCAGATTTTTTACACAATATATTGTGTAATTATTGGTAGGGATATGAGAAGCTCATAAACCTGTATAAAATTTTGTGTGGTATTCTTCCTAGTGTTTTTATCACTTTATAAAACATTTATGACAATAAGTCTTGATCACCAAAACAGGTTGACCTCAGAGATTGCATCTATTTGTAACAAATTGCTTTTTCTCCGTATCATATTTGAATATCTCATTATAGATAATGAAGTTGTAACATTATGGAAACCTGTTCGAAATACACACATTTATAGAACCATTAAACTTTTATTACAACCAATTATATATTTTTGAATATAATAATAAACAAACTCGATTTTTTTTTTTTTTTTTAGATGAACTTCCTTGCATCGGTTGGAGGCGACGATTACAAGCAACTTACCACAGCTTAAAATCTTAAAACAACTAATGGCTTAAAATCTTAAAACAACTAATGGCTAAAAAAGTATGCTTATTATACTCTATGTATGGCAGGAAACAAAAGAAATCATTTTCGCCTCTTACAAGGTGCAAGGTGGTTATAGGTAATTTATTTAATTATTTATCTTCATATTTAGTTGAATTAATAAGTTTGATAATTTTTGATTACATTTTGTTCATGTCTTGTTTAACATTATCAACTTAAAATTTGTTTGCAGCTGCCATAAAAAAAATTTGAAAACGCTAATGACAAAAGCATTAAAGAAAGAATCGGCAGCTTTCTGGCAACGGCCATTGATAGAGAAGGCGGAAGAAAGAATAGAACCGCAATTGAGCAAAGCCCACTATTGAGCGATGAAAATGAATGTCGCCAAGATAATGAAAATCAATGCCCACTATCTGATAGTGAGAGTGTAACGCTGTAATATATATATATATATATATATATATATATATATATATATATATATATATATATATATATATATATATATATATATATATATATATACAGGCTGTCAAGTCGTCATTTTTTTCATTTTTTTTTTGGGTTCTTTTTTTTTTCTTTATTTTTTTTCATTTTTTTGTTAGTTTTTGTCATTTTTTCATTTTTTTCTTGAATTTTTTACACTTTAAAGTTTTTTTTAAATGCTTAGAATTGCTGTTTTTGATATTTTTAAGTTGTTTTAGACATTATGTTACTTAGTTTTTTATTTAATTTTCAAAACTATTTTATAATAACAGTTACAATCTTTTATGTTCACATTTTAATTTTAATTATCCATTTGTATTGCTAAATTGGTGTTATTATTTTTAAAAAATAAATTATTCTATAGTATAGAACTAGTTAAGTTAGTGATTTTTATATTTAGTTTTTAGTATATTTATCAATAGATTATATAGTATAATGGTTAAGTGGAATGATGTGTGGTTGGAAAAGTTAGACAAAAATCTAGTGAAAATCCAATTATGGGCTGAAAAAAGAAACTCTGAATATGCTATCTGTAAACTATGCAAAAGTGATTTAAAATTCAGTTCAGTTGGTTTCCAAGCACTATATCAGCATTCTTCAAAACCTAAACATAAGTCAGTGTCTGATCTAAGATTTTCAAAAACTGCTAGTCATTTATATGTAGATTCTAACAAAAACTCAATTGGGGGAGAAAAAGTTATACAATTAGAGTTCTCTACAAATGAAAAAATTTCTGCTGCAGAAGCCATGTGGCTTTTTAAAGTGGCAGAGAATGATCTTGCCTTAAGACATTGTGACAACACACCAATATTGTTCCAAAGAATGTTTCCAGATAGTAAAATAAGTCATGGTTTTACTATGAGTCGGCAAAAAGCTTCATATATTTTGCAAGATGGCCTTGGGCCATTGTTGGAAAAGCGTTTATGTAATAGTATCACGTTAAGTCAAGTTGCATTCACTTTAATGTTTGATGAAACAACTACTTCACAACAAAGAAAACAAATGGATCTTTTATGTCGTTTTTGGTCAGAAGACGAAAACCAAGTTGTTACAAAATATTTAACATCGCTGTTCTTTGGCAGAGCAACAGCAGAAGATGTCAAAACAATGCTAGCAGATTTACGTCATAATGAAAGGTTTTATTTACCATGGGATCGTCTTTTTAATATTTCAGCAGATGGTCCTAATATTAACAAAGCCATTTGGAGATTGATAATTGCTGATCTTCATAGTAACGGTTTTAATGGCTTGTTACCATTTGTAAGTTGCACTTTGCACACAGTGCATAATGCTTTTCGAAAAGCAATTAATGTTGTCGGTGAGGATGCTGAGCAGCTTGCATTTGATTTACATAACTGGTTCAAGGTAATGATTTGTGTAATTTTATAAAGTAGAATCCCATTAATTCAGACCCTGGATAAGTTGGATTTGTACTAAGTCGGACAGATTTTCAATTCCCTTTAAGCTTTCTATACATACAAAAAGCTTAGCTTGTTTGGACATTCGCTAAGTCAGACTATTTATCTATTCCCTGTGAGAGTCTAACTTAATGGGATTTTACTGCAGTTAATACTAAAAGAGAATTTTTTACTTTACCTATGAAGTTATTTTTCTTACATTATTATTATTTTTTATTCTAATAGTCTATTATACGACTAGCTAATAAAGTGTAGTGTCTCTATAATTTTTTTCTGTTTTAGAATGCACCCTGTAAAATAGAAGATTTTAAAAAATTATCAGATTGCATTTTTATTGAAGATGAAACATTGTTTCTTCGTTTTGTCAATACTAGATGGCTCACTCTTTCTTCTTCACTTATAAAGGTTCTATTAAGGTGGGAAGACACCAAGAAATATTTTTTGGAATATATTCCAAAACAAAAGGAATATAAAAAGACACTGACAAACAACAAGCGTTATATTCGAATTCAAAGAAGTCTTAGGGAAACTGAAAATGTGATTAAAGTTATTCTTATTATTTTTTTTTGAATTATTACATATAATAGAGAATTGATTATTTTAGGAGTTACTTGTGTCCATCAAATTCCTTATTGGTTTAGCTCCCTTGTTTGAGAAATACTTGACAATATTTCAAGATGAAGGACCACTTGTTCATATTTTATTTTATAAAATGAAAAATCTTTTAATATCTTTAATGAAACGTTTTCTTCAACCGAATGCTGTTAATGGAAAGCTTACTAAAGATCTTTTGAAAATTGATTCTTCTGATTCAACTATCCACCTTGATTTGAATAAAATGGACTTTGGCGAGGAAGCTAAAAACCAGGTAATTTTTGATAGGTACACATTTGCTACATTTACCAGTTGCACATTTACTACCTGGTTAATGTGTACTTGGTAATTATGTATAAGTGTACTAGGCAATATAAACTATTTTGTTTATTGTATTATTCATTAGATATTTTATTATTAAAAATTAAGTTTTTTTATTCATTTTCATTGATGCAGATTTTCAATATAAATATGTTTTAGGTGAACAAAATATCATGTGAAAAAAAAAGATTTGTCTGCTTACAGCAAATGAGAGATGGATATATATCTGTTGTAAAACACTTGAAAAAAAAACTTCCACTTGATTCGCAGATATTAAAAGATATGACTTGTTTGGGTGCTCAAATGAGATCAGAACCTTGGACTGTTAATGCAATTGGGCGAATAGCAGTTACGATGCCACATGTAATTACGGAAAGGGAGGTGAATATTTAAATAAATTTATATTAAATAACTAATAATATATATATATATATATATATATATATATATATATATATATATATATATATATATAAACATAATTTCTGATTTGTAAATTAAACTAATAATAAGTAAATTTTGAAAATTTTAAATAGTATAAGTATTTATATTGTTAACATAATCTACTATATAATTAAAATAGCAGAGTACATTAACCATATAAATATATTATTTAACATTTTCAAAATTTACTAATTATTATTTTAATTTACAAATCAGAAATTGTTGTTTGTAAATTATTAGTTAACGAACTATTTTAATTTTAATATAATTAAATTTTCCTTTAATTTTAAATGTTAACACTTTCTCCATAACAATTTTATCTTAATTTTTGTACAGGTATCATTTGTGAAAGATGAATGGAAATTATACCAAGCAGCTAATATATCAAAAGACTGGTATATAGATTTTGATACAAAAAAACTAAAAAGAGTAGACCATTATTGGGCTAAAGTTTTTGAAAGTAACAATGAATATGGAAAAACAAAGTATGGGTATCTCAGTAAAGTTGTTAAGAGCTGTTTAACAATTCAGAATGGAAATGCCAGTGCTGAGCGAAGTTTATCTGATAACAAAAATACATTAACTCCTGAGAGAGTAAATCTAAATGATGAAACATTAATGGCTTTGAGAATATCAAAAGAATATGCAAGAAGTTGCAGAGGAGCATATAATGTTGATGCACTCTCCAAAGACTTTGTTCAAGCTGTTCAAAATGCTCATAAAATATATAAAAAAAGAAAAGCTGAAGAAGACGAAGAAAAAAGAAAAAATTATATTCATGAGCAAGAACTAATGAATAAAGAAAAAGAGCAGAAAGAAATGCTTGAAAAAGTTGAAAATAAAAATAAAAATTTAGATCAACAGGAAAAAAGTCTAAAGAATGATGAAAAAAATGCAGATCTTGAGTTTCAGCTTGCTCAGAGAATGCTCGATGAAGCAGCAAAATCCATGCAAAGTGCCATTATTAAGGAAGACATGATGGGTATAAAAATTGCCCATGAAATGGTAAACAGCGCAAAAAGAAGTCTTGAAAATGCTACATCTCATAGAAATGAACAGAAAAAGTTGAGAGAAAATATTGGTTTAAAACGTAAAAGTGAAATGGATAGATTAATTAAGCGTTGCAAAAAGTTAAAGTAGTCGTTAAAAGTTTGAAAGTTTTTGTAAATATAATAGAGCTTGAACTGTTAGTTCAGTTATAATTATTTAGCAAAATTTATTTATTTATGTTAATTATTTTAGACTTTAGAAAAAACGTTTTATTCTGTGTTAAACAACAAAAAGATGTCGAGATTTTCATTTTTAAAAGAAATTATTGATGGCGGATGATTTTGTTTGTTATTTTCAAAATAAAATTATTGAACTTTTCATTTTTATGATGAAATCAGTCATTTTTTTTCATTTTTTGTCATTTTTATTCTCAAAATACCGTCATTTTTTGTCATTTTTTTCGAAAGTTGCTGCTTGACAGCCTGATATATATATATATATATATATATATATATATATATATATATATATATATATATATATATATATATATATATATATATATTCATTCATTTGTATCAGTTTAATATAACTTCTAATAAATTTATTATTAGATTTTAAAAAGTCTCATTTTTTCAAATCGTTCCTAGATTATTATCGCCTTCTAGACTAAAACTATATACTATATACAATTATAGTCTAAACTATATACAAAAATATAATATAGACTATAGGCTGCATTATTCTTTCGGGTTAAACAGTTCATCCCCTCTGTGTTATCTTGTTCTATCTTCAAATGTAATAAATAAAATGTTCTAATATATAAAATGTATAGTATATTTTATACTATCTAATATATAAAATAAATACAAAAAGTATTTATAAATATAAAATGTTCTACCTGATATAATATATATTAAATTACATAGAACATTGTATTTATTTATATATAATTTTTTTTTTTTTTGTATTTTACACATTAGATAGAATATTGTGTTGTGTTTTTGACCCATTTAAATTCCCACTTTTTTTGTATTTATTTTACATATTAGATAGAACTGTGATCTTCTAGAAGCCCTGCCGGTAATATATTCAATGTAAATTTACCTTGTAGATATTCTGGCGAATAAATAAAAAAATTAAAAAAAAAATAACATTTTATTGTTTAACACTAAAAACAATATAACTTTATTACGCCAAAATTGGCCAGTATTGTATTTACAATATTGTAAACGATATCGCGCCAATATTGTAATGTCAACATTTTGCCAATATTGACTTAACAATATTGGCGCAATATTGTACCGCTAATATTGGCCAATATTGGCAAAATGTTGACATTGCAATATTGGCGCGATATAGTTTACAATATTGCGCCAATATTGTAGACAATATCGCACCAGTATTGCGCCAATATTGTTTGCTGCTTGGGGAAAGTATAAAAAAGCAAGGACTAGCATTGCATAAAACAGAACTTGAATGTAGCTGTTAAAATACTTCAAAATTGTTATAATATAAATAGTATAGAGCAGTCGTAGCGCAGTGGTTAGCGCGCTCGCTCTAGAAACAAGTTTTATAACAGTGGTAAGGAAGGAGACATTAACTTCTTTTCAAATGCTCTTCCGCGTTGTTCTGTGATAAGACTGCAGGAACCTCCTAGGGTATCTTAAATAAACTTTCCTTAAACATTCTCAAAGCTAAATATGTTTTACTTTACAAATCATCTAAATCTGTTAATTTACCACTTCAGCTTCCCCAGCTTATGATCAACAGCATTAATATAGAAAGAGACCATTCGATGAAAATCCTGGGAATAATTTTTCAAGAAAATCTTAGTTGGAAGAATCATTATTTGCACATCGAAAATAAAATCTCCAAGTCAATCGGCATCATGCATAAAATAAAACACCTAAATTAAACTTGCTTAAAAAATATATATTATTCGTTCATTCACAGTTATATCAACTATTGCAATATCGTTTGGGCAAGCGCATACCCTTCAGTACTAAAAAAGATATATGTAAAACAAAAGCAAGCGTGTCGAATTGCATGCAATACTAACAGATATACCCATGCCAAACCATTATTCAGGGAAATTGGAGCTCTAAATGTTTATGAACCTTTTTCAAAATGTATTATTTATATTTCAATCGCAAAACAATTTACAACCAAAATACTTTGAAAATCAATTTTCCACCATTGATCACAAATACCCAACAAAGTACTCTTTTCAAAACATTCCAAAAACTTTACTGAGTAACTTTGTTGAGTAAATTGCTTAACTTTACGTGAATAAAAATTTGACCAAAATTCCTGAAGTTTTTAATCACGTAAAGCTGACCAATTACTGAGTAAAAGCAATTGCTTATTTTTATTCATCCGGCCTATTACCTTCGATAGAAATGTACCAGATATTGTCAACATTAACACTTTCAAAAAAAAGCTTGGCAAATTTTTTGGCTCACTTCCAAAAAAACTGTATGATCGGTACTTCTGTCTCTCGCTTGGGAGTGTTATTAACTCTATGTGCCGACTATTTTATTTCTTTTTTATTTTTGTTTGGTCATCCTCTATACTGGTTCTACCATAGCAAGGATTGGTTGCTTTTCCAGCTTCACGGATTTTTCCGTTGTAGATTAAATTTAAATAAATAAAAAAAGATTTAGTGCTTGCAGTTAATTAACCCTATACCTTTATCATAATAAAAATATGGGATTAATTAATAGCAAAACACTAGCAATCCAATTCAAACTTGTGTCTTTCGTGAAATGTGTTTAAACTTGTATCTTTCATCAAATATGTAAAAAAAAGGATTTTAAAAATAACAAGAAGAATGTTAGAATCCTGATTCTATATAATTCAAAATTTTGCATCTCCATAGAGAAGTACAGATATCTTTAAGTATTAAAAAGAGTCTCATCTGATAGCGAGTTTTACTATTCTTTGCATTACAATCAAGGAGCTTGTCAAGATGTTTCATGAAAATATTAATTCTAAAGATAAAGAATTAAAGAGACGTCTTTTTTTCATTTAAAGTTTGTCTTTCTTGCTTTTTATTTCCTTTTTGCTTCGTTTTTGAAAAAATTTTAAAAGTTAGTTTGTTTCTTTACTCTCTGCATTTAAACTAAAAATTAAATGCAGAGAGTAAAGAAATAAAATGTTTTAGTAAAACATTTTATATTATTATTAGTCATAAGATATTTCAGAATAGATATTAAAATAAAAATTTAAATTAAACATTATTATTAACTTTTTGTTACATTTTACTTACCCACCAAAATTGAAATCCTCTTTATTATCAGAAAAGACTCCCCTCAAAAGACTCAAGTTACCCTCCCCTCAAAAGACTCAAGTTACCCTCCCCTCTCAAAGCCAGGACGGCTTTGAGAGGGGAGGATAACTTTATATGATATTAAAAATAATGCTTTTCACTAGTTTGAAAGTTTTTTAACGGACAGACAACATTATGCTTTTACAATGCTTTCCCAAAAGCTCCATTTTAGCTCCCCTACACTTCCTAATATAGATTAATGATCCTTTCTGAATATAGATTAATCATAAAAAACTGTAGTCAGAATTCTGATTTCAGAGCAAATAGTATATGGGGAATGCAAATAGTATATGGGGAAGTACCCATAAGACAAAGCTTAAATCTCTTTACCATCAGAACGTTACCGTCAGAAACACGCAGTTCGCGTAATAAATTTTAAAAATCGGTTTTCTCACACAAATTTTTAAAGAAATGAATATTTTGAATGTGTACCAACTAAATGTTTTTAATACTTTGTGCTTTATGTTAAAATGTAGAGAAAAACTGTCACCAACTGTATTTTAAAATGTTTATAATTTGAAACCAAAAAAACAAATATAATCTGCGCACTAATAACAATCTTATTGCCTCCTTTTGCCAGCAAAAAAAAGACCATTTTTTTTTCTTATCGAGGACCTTATCTCTGGAACAAAATAATTTTGCCAAATTTTGATTTTTCTATTAAAATGACTTATGCTTCAATTAAACAAAAACTTAAAAATGTTATCCTTTTATTAGAAAATATTCTCATCTATTTTTAACTATTTTTGTATATTGTTTTTGTATAAGCTTTTTATAAAAAGATGTATTTTTATTTCATTACGAACAGTTTATTTTTAATTAAAATTCTATTGAAAAAGTGTAAAAGTATTATATTTTTTAAAGGCTTCATGATAAGATCCTCATGATCTTCTAGAAGTCCTGCCGTTGTTGTTGCCAAATGTAAATGTAAATATATATTTTTTTATGGTTATTATTATTCTACATACATATATTATCTGGTTATTGTAATTATTCTTAAACGGCGAAATAAATCAACAACAAAAAAAAAAGGAGCTGTAGTTCCCTGGTTTGAAACCGGTTCTGGCTACATATTCCAAATTCATAAGGAAGGAGGCCTGAACTTTCTAATTAAATGCTATTACGCGGTGCTCTTTGATAAAATACTGACTTCTTAGAGCACCTAAATGTCTAAAAAAAAAAAAAAAGAAAAAAAAAGGATCTTCTAAAAGCCTCAAACTAATTCGATGATGTTTGCAGATAATACTAATCTATTTTATTTATCTACTACTATTGCAGAACTTTTTGTAACTACAAGTATTGAACTAGAAAAACATAATACTTGGTTTAAATCTAAAAAATTCTCATTGAACACAGAAGTTATAATCTTATTCTATTCCAATCACAGAAAAAATAATCATACTGCCATTTTTAAAAATAGAAAATAAATTTATCAAAAGCAACTGAATGTAGGCACTTTACATGATTTTACTGTTGTTATTATTTCTCTGTATAATTAATACGGAATTATACTTAATTACGAGAGTGCCATTACTACACGGGTTTCGAAGTAGAGGGGGGGGGGGGGGAGCTGCAATCGCTAATTATTAAAAAAGTCTTCTATATCTAGAATTTTCTAAAAAAAAGGTACTTTAAAAAAAAAGTTGGCCCAGTGGCGGAAGGACTTCTTGGAGCACCTAAATTAAAGAGCAGCCGTGGCGCAGTGGTTAGAGTTCTGGCTCAGAACCCAGAGGTCCGAGGTTCGACGCCAGCTCTAGCCCAATAAGTGACATTGGTACGGAAGGAGGCGTGAACTTCCTGTTAAATGCTCTCCCGCGGTGCTCTATGATAAGACCGTAAGAACTTCTGGGAGCACCTAAATACATACAAAAAAAAAAAAAAAAAAAAAAAAAAAAAAAAAAATGAAAACTTCAGTATGCTTTCATTTTTTATGTTTAGATAACAGGTTCCCTGGACAATTGACAATTTTTTTTGATAATTATTTT